CTCTCTCTCTCTCTCTCTCTCCTTCCTAGTATCAGTAAAAAACACACACACAAAAAAAAACACATACAACAACAAAAAAACTAAATAAAAAAAGAAATAGAGCAGGAAACTAGAAGCACCCTGGTCCCTGCCCTGATGGAGTTTACATTCTACTTGCAGGCACAGCCAGACAATACTTAAAAAGTGGCATAAAGAAAACAAAATAGGTAAATGGTAGGGAGAGGACCAGGGATCAGATGGGGTGCTCCTGGAGACAGAAGTGTCAGGGCAGTACTCTCAGTAGAGAAAGCGGTGGCCTGAATGGTGAGAAAATCCAGCCATGCCCAGGTCTAGAGGAAGATCACTCACAGCAGAGGGGAGCAGTAAGTGTGAAGGCTCTGGGGTGGGGGGTGAGGCCATGAACCATTGGCAACTCCTGGACAGGCCACACCCCCTCTCCCCTCCACGCCTTCACAAGTGCTTCTTCTTTCTGTGAATTCTCCATCGTCTGATCCACACCCCTGCCCTCTTGCCTGCTGAATTCCTCATCTTTAAAATTCAGCTTGGATATATCCAAGGGTCCCTCCAGGGGTCCTTCTATGGCCTTCCCTCTCCTTCCCTACAGCCTGCTTTGGAATTGATCCCATGGGTTCGGCAAGCATTCTCTACCTGACACACATCACGTTGTTTTGTAATCGTTTATATCTTTCTACCCTTTCACTATGAAGATATTAGAGTATGGAGTATATATTCTCAGAGCTTAGGGCAATGGCTAGTTAATAAGCTCTTAACAGATACATGAGAGAGGAATGAATTTTGAAATTTATAAAATCACCAGGACTTGTTACCTGATGGTTTAACACTAATAACAGGGCGCAAAGAAGAAGGAAGAGGTAAATGAACCACTAAAATTTCAGTAGAGAAGTGAAGACTATCCCCAAGAATAATAAATCATTCACTGCAGCGAGGTCTCTGGTACATACCTTTTCGGACACTTCTAAGTGAAAGACTTTTAGAGCTTGCTTAAAATCTGCTTTATCTAAAAGTCCATTTCCTTCCTTGTCCAATTGTCGAAAGTATTTTCCCAATCCAGTCAAAATACGAACGCCTCTTTTATGCAGCTGTCCTTTTAGCTCATCTGTTTAAGAAGAGGAGAGATGGAAACTAATAGTTCCTATTCATAAATGTATCAAATTGCAATGGCCCGGCCGGGCATGGCTCAGCGGTTGAGCGTCGACCTAGGATCCAGGCGATCGGGGTTCAATTCCCGGTCAGGGCACATGCCCGGGTTGTAGGCTCGATCCCCAATGACTCTCTCATCATTGATGTTTCTGTCTGTCTCTCTCTCTCTCCTTTCCTCTCTCTGAAATCAATAAAGATATATTTAAAAAAAAAAAAATTGCAATGGCTTCTTGTGTAAAAAAATTAAAGTTGATGTAACTGATATAAGAAATGTCAGCCAAATCATATGTTATGACTGACAAAAAAACTTTGGAAAATAGAATCCTTTTAATAAAGAAGGTTATACTGTATATAAAACTACATGACAATATACCAGAACTATAGCACCACTGTGTGGTGGAAGTGTTATATTTTAAACATAGGAAAATAATGTTTTACTTTAGCAGCATGAAAGTGACCTAAATGTTACAAATACAATTTTATTTTCTAGGCATCCTCTTCATCTAACAATCTTACATTTTTCATCTCTTCCTTCTTTCTTTATTGTTACTAACTGAATTACAAAACTGACACCAGACAAGTCATTCTAAATTTACCAGCTCAAAATGTCTAAAATAGTTTGTCATTTTCAGATTAGAACTTATATGTGAAATAGCACCACGGCTTTGGAGTGTTATCCTATACTGACAATTTAAAGTAACCCTTTCTTCCAGGATTCATAAGAGGTGATGTTCTTAGGCACCTAGCATTCTCTTTGTGGGTCAATGATTTCACTTAATGCAGTTTGTGCCATCTCAAGAAAATATAAGGAACTTTACTAAAGTAGTTACTAAATACAATACATTAGAGGAAGTAAATGTCACTAGATATAACAGTGAAAAATATTGTTTTGACCGTGATAGTCTAAACGATTTACTAACAATGGCATTAAGAATATTTGAGACTTCAAATATCAATCCTAGACAACTTTCAAACATTTCTAGTCTTTTTATTCCCTGATCATCTTTAAATTATAAATCAGGATTTATCAAAGTTCATAAATTGTATGTTGCTTTTCTATGATTACTTCTAGATTATGAAATTTAACAAGAGAATTGTCTGAGCCTAGTATATATACTGTGATTAGTTAGGAGATTAAACTCTAGAAATAAAATTTGTAACATGTCTTACTGTCCAAAGCCTACATATACCACAACAACTATGAAAAGTTAATAAAACGGTTTTTTTTCCCCTTTTTGGGGATGAAAAAAGAGGTACAAGTGAATGGCAGTCATATATCTATTGAATGAGAGAGAACAAATGACTTTGGATCCAGTCTTTCATCTTTCTTTTACACTAGGCCATCACAAATCTCTTTAGGATATTGTCTAATGCACAAGACAAGAAGTAAATTACAAAATCAGTTACATTTTATTTGATTTATGAATAAAACCAATACTACCTAGTTCTTTCTAAAACTGTTAAATTCATAATTCATATAATACCAGTTATTCAGTTAGGATTATTAAAGTAAGAGAAATCTTTAAAATATTTTTAAACATACATATATATATATATAATTAACTTTAAAAAAGATAAGCAAATAAGAAATAAAAATCAGGTGCCATAAAACTAAGAAACATCTGAAAAATACTGCTTTACTACTTATAAAGAAAGCAGTTAAAAATGTAAAATACTTGAGATATACAGTAAAATGATACATACCTTGAATGGCTTTGAAGACCAGGCTGTCATCGGCTTCTTGTCTGGTTATATCATCCTCATGTTCCACAGAATCAGTTCTACAATTGACATGTTCACAATGATAAAGTATATTCTGTTTTGTAACCTTGAGTATGGAAACTCTAAGTTTTTCCCTGCTCTAGACTCAATGAAACTCTCATCAAAGTTGGAAGAGTGCCTAGAGATTAATCGACTCCCATTTTCTACCTGCTGACTTAATCCCCAGGAGGATTAACTATGCTAAATCAAAAGCTAAAATCCTTAAAAACCTTCCAAGAACTACCTTTAAGCATTATATTTATTTTTGTGGCTATTTCAGTGTTCTTTTAAAATAGTTAAAACTATTAAATTTAAAAGCAGTTTCACCTTGCAAAGTATGAAGGGTAAAAATGTTATTTTGGAAAGCCCTGCAAAAAATGCATTCATTTTGAGCAATACAGTAAAATGAACTATATTTATCACTGAGAAACACTCATTGGAATAGCATACATTTACCACTAAGAAACACTCAGAAAGAATAATAGCATATAATAGCATATATAAAAATATTTGAAACAACTCAAATTCATTTAAAATATTTGAAACAACTCAAATTCATTTTTTATTCATAGCATTATTCTTCCATTATGCATATTACCAATCAATGAACACTATTAACATGTAGGACCCAAGACATTTTTTAATGCTAAAAAAAACCCCATCACACTAAAATGTGGGGGAAATTATTAATATTGTACTGCATTTCATCTTTTAAATTTTACTGCTTTATTAGCATTCCATAAAATACAAGTGTTATAGCAAAGGCCAATTAATAAAGTACCTTTAACATAAAATGGGACATTTTTGTTCTTTACTCGAATGTAACCGTTCCCACACATGGAGTATGAGATAGCACATAGAATAGACAAGTACAGCTTTGAGCTAACTAAAGTCAAAGTGTTTGGGGATTGAATTTCATTTTAAGGTAAGAAATAATAGTGTTTTCACTTACCTTCAAAATGACAAATGAAAGTTTGACTTACTTACCTGAGAGAATCCAAAGCTATCTGATCAATATTTGTGATTCGAAGTATAAGTAATGTGTTTTCTTTTATGCTTTTTGGGAGTCTGGGATGATCAGAACTTAAAAATGTCAAGTTTGCACCCTAAAAAAAAATTAACAAATGAATTATTTAAAGCTTATAAAGTCTATAAGAAGTAGCATACAACTAATACTAATTTTAAATATTCAATTTTGATTATGAGACATGGTATACTTTTATAATTTTTTTAAAAAGCATTGTAGAGACCATTTAGAAATCACATAGCCTTCAGCTAATAATATAGGAAAATAAAGGAACTAATCTCCCAATCAATCTCAGAATTAGAATAATCTTCTATTTAACAATCCATGTAAAAAATAATATAAGAACTCCATTTTTATAAGAATCTTAGGAAGGAATGATAAATTATTCAAATCAAAATCATGACATTCCCAAATAGAGCTACTGATCCACAGAAAGATGTACTGCAAATTGATGAACTGTGATAGATCAATCACCTGCTCATTTGATAACAAACATCACATAAATGTAAAACCTAGTTTTAACCTAAGTAGAGCATAAAGGCTTCAACAAAAATACTCCTATTGCCCAGCTGGTGTGGTTCAGTGGTTGTGTGTCCACTCATGAACCAGGAGATTATAGTTTGATTCCTGGCCAGGGCACATGCTGGGGTTTCAGGCTTGATCCCCAGTAGGGGCCGTGCGGGAGGCAGCCGATCAGTGACTCTCTCTCATCATTGATGTTTCTATCTCCCTTCCTTTCTCTGAAATCAGTAAAAACATACTTTAAAAAAATATTCCAATCAAAAATTATTAATCTACTTAGAAAATTTTTATTATTTTAATTTCTAAGTCACTCATGTAACTATGGTCAATTGAGGACAAATACAAATTTAAAATAAGGAGTTTAATTTTCTCTCTTGAAAATAATGGAGATTTCTCTCCTTTTCCCTGGAGCACTTACTTAAGAAACCTTGTAACTCTTAGTGCTTTCTCCTTTATTTGAAACGTATATAAATTCTTTTCAAATTATAATATTAAGCAGTTGAAGAAACTATGTGAATTGTGTAGTCGGATTATACCCATAAGAATGTACACAAAAGCAAATGCGTGCATATGTACATGTGTGCACAGGGTACATCCGTGCGTTTTGTCAGTGCATCGGAAGCTATATATTCATGTGCGTGAATGAACGTATGTGGGTGCACTTTTTATGCATGAGTGTCCATGGGCATGTGCGCATGCTTATGTGATTATTATCCTAATAGCTGGCACTAAAACTTCTTTTAGGGAGTGTTTAGGAAAAGATCTTGGGGCATAGAGAAAAGATACGTTCCAGAGTAACATCTGGAAAGCAGAAGAAATACCTCCTACCCCCAAAAGAAAGACGGAGAAGGTGGCATATTCCTGCATAAAGAAATGAAATACTGTAGGGAGGAGGAAAAGATGGAAGGAGTCAAAACGGAATATTGAAGAGGAGGGCCTTTACCGTGGGAAAGACGCAAGGGGCATATTTCTAAGAATAGGAATATCTAATAAATTTTACATTTCTGACACCGCTGCAATATTGACCTCCCTCCGTGCCCCTTTCAAAATGTCTGGCACACACACAAAGCGTCGTATACATGGTTTGGGTGCAGATTCCTCTCCCCACTTCTTTTCTCCCTTCTTTTCTTTCATGGAAATCATAAAAGGGAGCAGAGTTCCACATCTGCTTCAGGTGACATGGAACAGGAACAGTGACAATGAATCATAAGCCACGCTAAGTTATTGGCGACGGCACCCAGAGCTAGAGGTAGCTTCGATCGGGGACAGGCGTCAAACACCCTTTCTGCACGTTGTGAAATAGGAGTCGGAGCTGATTTTCTCCAGATCTCAAGAGGCAGACTTGAGTGGCCTATGTATATTTTATTTAATCCCAGTGTGATATGTAAAGTTTGTCCTCATCTCAATTTCTCACCTAACGGTTACTACATTTTATTGACTCTACCTCCTAAAGATTTTTTTAAAAAATTTATTTTTCTAATTAGCTTCACAGATACAGACACCTGCCTAGCTCAGGTTGTCACAACCTCCTTCCTAAACTTATATATTTCAGTCCAATCNTTGTCACAACCTCCTCCCTAAACTTATATATTTCAGTCCAATCTGGTTCTTTACACCTGGTCTTTATTCCCCACATGATAACATTTTAGGTAACTCTTTAACAGAGGCTGCCCTTAATAAGCTCCTACTTTCTTGACAATACCAGCCCTCAACCCTGTCCAGACGGACTTTCCCTACCCTCTCCTGTCTTCCTGTCCCACCCAGCTAACTCCTCTGGGTGAAGTTTAGATGGCATTTCCTTCAGGAAGCCTCTTTCACTCTATATTCTAAATTATTACCCCTCTTACCTGACCATGTTTCCCTTTAGGCTAAACTCCACAAATGCAAGGAATGGGTCTAACTTACCCACTGTTCTCTCTCCAGTGCTTAGCCTATGACTATATATCTGTTACATGAATGACTGTGGATAGTGCTGCACTGTAACCACGAGATAACACGTGAATATAATGATTTAAAATGAAGGAGCACTATACAAATTGTAACATTTCTATGAGCCACCCGTTCTATGGAATCCTTGTGATACACATATGCCAGGAGTTGCACAAGGTGAGAAAATCACAGGGACAGGCTATCAGTTATACGACAGCTCCAGGGCCAACAACCAAAAACTATGCGTCCTCAGAAGGTAAGCCTGTTTTAGGTGGAGCATTACTCCTAGTGCTATTGAAGTAGCCCCTTACTCAATGGCACAGCCCTGTAGAGCCTTTAAAAGTACCGAGACAAGCTCTGCTGGGCTTCTGTTGGGGATTTGGGTGGAGGCCGAAGGTAGTGTTACTGGGAATACAGGCTGTCCTTAGATTCAGACCAATGGTGTCTGAGCCGGACAGGCAGAACCTCCAGGGAAACATCAAACATTGGCCATTCACACAAATCAATGCCCCTGCTCAGGAAGGAGAGAGAATCAGCTGAAGATGAGAAACCCCGCTCCTCCAGCCCCACAGGATCCCACGAAATCCAACATCTGGAATTAAATCCTGTGTAAGCACACACTTAACTTACGATATAAAAATCGCCAAGTTGGTATTGCTTTCCTTTTCTTCGTCCACGCTGATGACTATAAATTTTTTTTTGAATAAAAGGAAGCACATTTGTTCTAGAAGTTAAATGACAAAAACGTGAAGTTATTTGGCTTCTCTCAGAAGTAATCATCTTGAGAGTTGTAGCAATGCTTTATGGCATACCTATTTTTCCCAAATTGCCGATATTCATAAATGGTAAGGGACTGGTCATGAAGGAAAAAGAACCCAACCAGCTCTCTGCAAGCATCACGTCCATTTCTAGAAAAAGAGAATCACATCAAAGGTTTTCAAATACCATAATTTTCTAATTAAACAATAAGCTAAAATCATCATGTCAGAGGGATATTAACTTCCTCAAATGCATGGCAATGAGCTAGGGTTATGGGATGACACTGGGAAAACATGCTGCAGCTTGCTGCAGTGTCAATTTTAGATGGAGAAAATCTTTAGCTTACACTGATATAAATATGGATACACAGATTGCTGATTTGATACAGACTTTTAAGATAAAGTGAAAGATTTTTTAAAATGTAGAGCTTGCAAGAAGCCACTCAAGGATATACATTTATTATCCTTTGTCTGAGAAAGTTTAAAATCATTAAACAAACAGGATAATTTAAAAAACAACAACAACACTTTACCATCAGTGTACACAAAGAATATCAAGTAGCATTACATTTTACTGGAAGTTTATAAGACTGAGAAAAGAGATTTAAGCATTATCTTTGTCATCTTCTTGTATCTACCAATAATCTACTGTTAACTTAAGCCATTAACATGAAATTACATAAAGAAAGTTACATAAAGGTTAATTTTTCAATAGTTTAGAATCTTCTAGTAGTAATATATACCTTTTTAAAACTCACTTCTACATTTCTTTTTGAAAGACATTTTAGAATCACATTTTAAATAACTTCTAATTAAAACACTTTTCTTTAGGTTCATACTTTCTATAATTTTTGTAACAGATTGATATATATTACCTAAAAATGTTTGTTCTAAATTCACATTTACATTTGTTTGTGACAAATTTAATTAATCTCACTATTGTTGTGTCTACTTGAAAATAGAATATACTTTATAATCATAGGATTAAAAAATTTAACAAAATCATAATCACCTTGATATGATCCTACCATCAAATTGCACTTTGTGAGAAAGCATGTTTTCGGTTAATGTAGAATGCGTTCTTATCCTGTTAAGGAACACATTTGTCAGCAATTATTTTAAAGTTATGTACATTTGATATAAACAATAAAAGTATGAAAAAAGTTAATATTTGAAGTGCACAAATTGCATTAAGANCGTACATTTGATATAAAAGTATGAAAAAAGTTAATATTTGAAGTGCACAAATTGCATTAAGATGATGGCATAAAACTCTTATTTTTTCAGATTGCTACTTGTAGCAGACACATAAGAAATAATCCTGAAATCCAGTATGTAAGACGCAAGTGACTTTTATGTTAGACTGTGCAGTAGCATAGTGCTATGAAAGTAAACATTGAATGTAGATATCACATTTGTGACTGGCTCTGCTGTGGGGCTAACCCCGCAGGCACGTCTAGCCCTATCCTTCTTGCCTCCCTTCCACCAAAGAATTTGTTTTCTTAGCCTCTTCAGTTTTAGGGGACTAAGGGATCCAGTTCCGTCAATAAACTTCCAGGAAAGATTTTGTTTTGTCCTGAGAAGAGAGTGGTGTGGGAAGAGGTCCTGTCTGTGAACATGGCAGGGATGTGATGCTAGCAGCCACTATAGACATCAAGCAACCATGTCAGAAAGGCCAATAAAATCTCAAGAAAGCCAGCCCAGAACTCTGCCATCTCTGAGCCGCTGAACTGCAACCAACAAACTCCAAGCAGCTAGTTAAATATGAAAAATAAATCCTAACTTGTTTAAGCCACTATCAGTCAGGTTTTCAATTGGGGGTAGCTCAAAATATTCCTTACCAAAATAAAAGAAGAGTGGAAACGAATATTAGAACAAGTTTTAGCCTTGAAATCAGTCTGTGAGACCTCAGATGAGTTATTTAATCTTTATGGCCTTCAGACAGCACTGAATGATCTCACAAAAACTGCTATTCATAAAATCCTGTTCAATAATATGAAGCAAAACACCAATGCACACATTTTGGCACCCTACTACTAATAATCTCTTTTATGTTAAGAAATCTGAAGATTCAGTGATATATCTTTACTCACCTTCCTAAACAGTCTTATGCTATTCCCTGCAGGTGTAATAACATTGCAATGATGTAAATAGCAAATAAGTGTATGTGGCGCATAAAGATCTTCAAATGTTTCATCTCTATAAAATCTAGGTCACTGTGAAAGGTAAACAAGATACAGCCAACAAGAGTCAGCAGTCCAAATGAGTTTGTGAACACAGAGTAGAGCCATAAAAGCTTGGTCATCTCAATTCAACTTAATCCATTAGTATTAATGTGTTTATTGAATGCCCATTATGTGCCATAAACAATTCTAAATGCTGAGAAAATAATAGCACTAATAATAGCTACCATTTATTGAGAACTTCCTAGACACTAGTTATTATTAAAATCACTTTAATGTGTATTAGTTCATTGAATACTTGCAATAACTCCATGAAGTAAGTATTATTATCCCCATTTCACAAATAAATTTTACAGAGCCATAGAGTTAGTGCATGGGAAAGCTAGAAAAAAACCTTGTTCATAACCATTACATTATATTGCTTCTCAAAGGTGAACAGAATTCAGTTTAACAGTGATAAGTTGAAGTAATAGCTTCAAGAAGCCTAGAGTCTCCTTGAAAAGATAAAAGATGTAAATAGGCATTTATATTATAAATGGAAAGTTCCATGTTGGAGTTTTGGGTACCTGATAAGGAGCACCAATAATCTACCCAAGTTCTTAACCAATACAAAAATAAGAATTAAGCAGATCAAGACAAAAATATGAATTTTATTCTTGATAAAGCCTTTGGCAACCATGGCTTAAGAATGCAGCAACAAGAAGCAAAGCCCCTGACACTAGAATTAAACAAACTAACCCACTCATTCCCACTGGGGAGGGACTTGTAAAACTTAATGCATAGGACAGTATGTGTACTTCTGCAGGCAGCTAACTCCCAAGGAAAAGACAAGAGGAAGGGTTGCACTGCATGTGCCAATCTTCTGCTTCTAATTCTATGAAGCAGAATTTTCTCCTCTGCTTCTGGGAATAGTGAATAGGGGCGTAGGGGGTAAAATTCATAAATTCAGTAATTCTAATCAATATCCCTCATAGGATTTTTCAGAGAACTAGACTTGCTAAATCAAAAATTTCTACTTAAGAGAAAAGGGCCTAGTATGCCAAGACAATACTGAAGATAAACAAGCTGCAGATATTTAATTTAAAGCAATACTAATTAATATAGAATTATGTTGGTACAAGAATATATTACAAGTAGATGAAGCTAATAAAAAGCCTAGAAACCTACCATGCATTTATAACAACTTGATATACAACATAAATGGCATTATAATTCAGAGAAATAATGAGTTTGTGGTCGGCAGAGACTTCTTAAAGAAGATACGAAGGATACTAACAACAAAAGAAAAAAATGGCAAACTGGTCTACGCTGAAATTAAGAACTCTGATCAGCCCGGCCAGTATGGCTCAGTGGTTGAGCACTGACCTATGATCCAAGAGATCATGGTTTGACTCCCTGTAAGGCTCACACCTGGGGTTCCAGACTCAATCCCCAGTAGGGGGCGTGCAGGAAGCAGCTGATCAATGACTCCCATCATTGATATTTCTATCCTTCTCTCCCTCTCCATTTTTCTCTCTGAAGTCAATAAAAATATAATTAAAAAAAAAATAGAACTCTGATCAAGAGAATGTAAAAGTAACCACAGAATAGGAAAATACATGTCCAACAAATAGAACTGAAAAGGGACTTATAACTAGAATATATAAATAAGTTCCACAACCAAATATGAAAAAGATAACCCAAGAGATTTGAAGTTTCACTTAACAATATATTTAGATGACTAATATACATATGTAAAAGTGCTAAACTTCATTATTCTCCAGTGAAATGTAAATTAAAATTACCAATACATCCCCATAAGAGGTAAAATTAAAAATATAGACAACACCAAGTGCAAGCAGATCTGTGGTGCAACTGGCACCCTCTTACTGCTACTGATGACAGTGTTAATTGCAACAACTACTTTGGAAAACTATTTGGCAATGTTTTTTAGAGCTGAACATATGCATACTAAGTAGTCCAGCGATTCCACTTCTAAGTAGGTACTGAGCAGAAATGAGTACATATGTTCACAAAAAGGCATGCAAAAAGTTCATGGCAACACTACTCATAAAGAGTCAAATGTCCAAACGCATCTGTATATAAATAAATTGTGGTATATTTATATAATAAAATACTGTACAGGAATGAAAATAAAGGACACCTACAAATAATAATATGGATAAAACCCACAAACATATTGTTAAACAAAAGAAGCCAGATACAGAGTTTAAATTTTGTGATTTCATTTAAGTGTATAATCTGAAAGTGAGATAGAGCACTCAACCTGTTGTGGCAGAGGAAATGGACAGTAACTGGTAGATAGCACAAAGGGTGGGACGTTGGGGTACTGGTACTGTTCTATATCTTGATCTAGAAACTTGTTCAGGTTGTGAAAATTCATATGCTGTACACCTAAAATGTGTACACTTTGTGAGTATATGTTTTATCTCAGTAGAAGTTTACTTTAAAAAAGAGAGATTACTATAGGTGATAGCTGAATGATGGTCCTCTAAAGATGTTCATCTTTAATCCTCTGAACATGTAAATATGTTAACTTACATAATACAATAAAAGGACTTTGAAGATGTGATTAAAGACCTGGAGATGAGAAGATTATCCAGAATTATCCAGTTAGGTTCAGTGCAATCATAGGGGTCTTTATGAGGGAAGTAGAGGTGTATGTGATACAGAAGGGTGTCAGAGTGAGGTAACATGAGAAAGACTTGCCCAGCCATAGCTGGCTTTGAAAATGGAAGAAGGGGCCATGAGCCAAGGAATGAAAGCAGCCCCCTCTAGAAACTGAAAAAGGCAAGAAATCAGATACTTCCTGGAAGCCTCCAGAAGGAATGCATCCTGTCAAGATCCTGATTTTAGGCTTCTGACCTCTAGAACTGTAAGAGAATAGATTTGTGTTGTTTTAAAATACTGCTTTTGGTAATTTGTTACAGAGGCAATAGGAAATTAATACATGATATATTCAAATATTTAAAGTTATGAAAATTAAAGCTTCCAGAAAATAAGAATAAGAACAAAATATAAAAGTTATAAGATAGTAACTGCCCAACAATTACAGCTGTCTGAAAATATAAAAGTGTTACTGTAGGAACTGATAGATTTTCTATGCCTATTAAAGCAGAGGCTAGATGTCAACAGTCAGTGAAGTTGTTGAGAAATTAAAGTGAAATACATCCGGAGGAGTGAGAAAGTCCATATAGATCTAAAGATTTTATAGGCTACAAAGATGCAAAATAATAACTTTTAAACAACACTAACTTTGAATGTATTATATATCAATGAGATTCAGCCAATATATATATTGTGTACATACCAACGATTCAGTTACTGCATTATGCATTTTACACAGGAGGAGATGTGTATTATCTCCTAAGGTTGTGGCTGTTATTCCTAAATTACAAATAGAAAAGCTAGAGGGCAAACTTTATCCCAGTATATTAAAGTGTAAGGATTAGACTCTAAACTCAAAAAATTCACTTCCTTTTAAATAGCAAAAAACAAAAAACTTTTCAGTTGGACACAAAATAACATTTTTTAAAATACATGTATAAATACTATATCCTCAATTTATATAAGTAAACTCTTCTTACTTTGTTTCATGTAGTGTTCTCTTCCTACATCGAAGAGGGGCTATGTTAGAATCTGGAAGGATACAAACACCTTCTTTCTTCTCAGTGGTTAAATTTTGTTCTGGATCACTGATTACAGCCCTGTCAACAAAACACAAAGTCTGATGATTAAATGGGATAACACATTGTGCTAGCATTCACGTATTTGTAAGCAGTTGAAAAAGCCCATATATAAATGCAAATTTACACTGCTACCAGAATTATATATTTGTCAGATGTTAAATGAATAATCACCTTGTGGTGGTACAGTGGGAGTGGAAACATTACTAAAGTGAGTTCATGAGATAATGGGAGGAGATGCATTGAAGACTGTAAGTATAATTGAAGACTGTAAGTATAATTAATTATTTCAAACAATTTACTGAAAAACATGCATGTAGAATATCACTCTTTCTCTCCACCACCTAATTAAAGAATTTTTTCCAAAGCTAAACTTGTCTTACTTCCTCCTGGAAGATGTCCTAGGCTATTCAAGTTTCTTCTGAAATCTTGCAATATTTGCATGTTGTCATGCAATTTAGCACAGCAGGTGCTAAAACTTCATATCATTTCCTAAGAGTTATGAAACTTAGATTACATTTTACAGTTCTTATAGTTAGTCTCACAGTTCCCAAACTGTACACCAACTCACTCTGGGGTGCCCCAAGGAACTCCTAGGGACACTGCAGGATATATTTAATTTTTGAGGGAAACACAGTACTTAATATTTATTGGACACCACATGAACTACCAGCTCAAAGTAATTCACAGATTCAGTAAGATGCCCTCCTTCAATGATGCCTCATCTTGCAAAGCTGGGCTTTCTACAGTCCTGTGGTAAAAAGCAAGTGCCATATGAAACAGAAAGTGAGGGTAGCAACATCCTAAACATTTCCAAGGTTTGAGAGGCTGTGCAGTACCCAAAAAGGTGTAAACATCCCTTTAGTAAGTACTTATGGCTATTTAAGAATGAAAAAAACCCCACATTTTCTTTTAATTTATGTGTATTTTTCAAATAGCCATTAAATAGTTAGGAAGCACATACTCATTAAGTTTTTTAGACAAAATTATTTAATAAATGGAAATAATGGGTATGTCTGTTGGCCTAGGAGTGCTGTGAAATAAAGTACTAAACTCTATGAGGACACTGAACAGAGACAGTTTGAAGATATCTGAGTTAGAAACTTGATTGACCAAGGATATGGGTTGTCAGGCATAAAAAAAATTGAATAGGAACTTTCTGAATGAACTCCCACCACCAGTGATGACCTCGCACCTACACAGGTGGTCTATCATCACTTGCTCTGCAACAGTCTGTTTCTTCTTCTCAGCAGCCACAGTTTCCTGAGAAGAGAAAAATAAAGACCATCACACAGAAGTCCTAAAATATAAACTATTCACAGCACAGGAACCGGAAACTGAACTGGAATCATTAACCCTATATTCAAAATTTAAAAAACAAACAAACAAAAGCATTTNTACAGGAATCAGAAACTGAGTTGGAATCATTAACCCTATATTCAAAATCTAAAAAACAAACAAACAAAAGCATTCTATCATTAAAAGGATAATATTTTTTACACATATAACCCATTTATAATCCTTGATCAACTTTTTTCAATTAGTGTTTTAACTAAACTATCTTCATACTATTTTTTTGCTTTGCCAAAATTATTTTTACTGAAGTTTAGGTCACATCAAACTGATCCGTAATCACTCAGTTCTAACTAGATTATCATGTACCTATAATCACTAAAATGTTTCTTTTGAAAGGTAAATAAAAAAGGGTAAAGAAATTAAGAAATCAAATAAAACTGTTCTATTTGTATTTTTTGTATGTGTTTTTTTAATTGAATTGGTTTCAGAGGGAAGAAGTGAGAGGGAGAGGGATAGAAACATCAATGATGAGAGTCATTGATCGGCTGCCTCCTGCATGCCCCCTGCTGGGGATAGAGCCCGAAACCTGGGCATGTGCCCTAACTGGGAATCGAACCTCCATCTCCCTAGATCATAGGNGATAGAGCCCGAAACCCGGGCATGTGCCCTAACTGGGAATCGAACCTCCATCTCCCTAGATCATAGGTAGATGCTCAACTATTCAGCCACCCTGGCTGGGCAAACTTGTTCTATTTTTAGAATGTAAATTACCCTCATCCATCCACATTGATCAGTCCAATAAATGAAATCAAGTAAGGCAATGTTGCTTAAGATAGAAGCTTTGTAACTTTAGAGAGAGTACTCTATTTAAAACTGACACAAAATTCAAATAAGAATAACTAAAGGCATATTATAGAAACAAAAAGTAGAAACTCCTAAGAGACCCAGAAAAGTTGGGTACAATCTAAATGTTAATCTATAATTGAATTTAGATTTGTGTTTGGTAGAAATTTAANCAATGTTGCTTAAGATAGAAGCTTTGTAACTTTAGAGAGAGTACTTTATTTAAAACTGACACAAAATTCAAATAACTAAGGCATATTATAGAAACAAAAAGCAGAAACTCCTAAGAAACCCAGAAAAGTTGGGTACAATCATTTAAATGTTAATCTATAATTGAATTTAGATTTGTGTTTGGTAGAAATTTAAGATGTATACTTTTCACACCCAAATATGCCCCATATAGAGTTCGTATGATTTAATATATAACTGCATCTTGTGTTCTTAAGCAGGTGACCCTTTATAATGATCTTTAGTGATTTTATGATTTTTTTTAAAGAAGTTGAAAGAACTGTGTAATTTACAGGTAAAGCCAGGTACATTTTATATCAAAGGATGATTCAGAAAGTGGACACTGACTAAAACGTGAAGTTATATACCAAAAAAAAAAAAAAATCAGCCAGAACACAGATGTAAAACCCAGAAGCAAGCAAAAGAGGTGATGAATATGGNTAAAGAAGTTGAAAGAACTGTGTAATTTACAAGTAAAGCCAGTATCAAAGGATGATTCAGAAAGTGGACACTGACTAAAACGTGAAGTTATATACAAAAAAAATCAGCCAGAACACAGATGTAANCAAAAAAAAAAAAAAATCAGCCAGAACACAGATGTAAAACCCAGAAGCAAGCAAAAGAGGTGATGAATATGGAGGCCATGCAGAAAGCCCACCTTAGCTGTTGACATTTATGGTGGCTTATACTTTGTAGGAAAGGTTAGGACCACCCTCAGGCATGCTGAGTTAGAGGTCTATGCAAACATGAAGCAGATTAGAAGCAGAAGGGACACTGGTGCAAAGACTCTGATAACAATGAAAAGTAAACGCGAACTAGAAGATACGAACATAAAAAACACATGCTCACTGCTTCTGTGTCCAGTCAGGTAGTTAACTACATTTAAAAAATAAATAAATACTAAATTTTGATGCATTCAGAGTTTACTTACATAAACATTTCCTTGAAAAGCACAGATAAATGAGTGCTTCCACAATAAAGCAAAATGTTACTTGATAGTGAATTTAGATATATTGCCACTAATAAAGTAATTGCTAAGGAAAAGAAATCCACTAACACCCAGATGGCTTTGGATTTTACCAAGGACAATACCCAATGGACCTTAAGTACTGGTGACATGAACTTCAAGTCAGTTTACATTCTAACTTTAGACACATTTAAAAAAAATTTTTTTTAAGAACACTGTTTTATTTTATGGATTTAAAAGGTCCTAGCAAATTTCAATAAAGTAGATTAGAGTTAACTATGAATTTCCATTATAAAATGACAGACAGTTGCCATTGGGGGAGGTGGTTCTTGTTAGACTGAGTCAAAAACTTCCAGGGGGATGGACAGAGAGAGATTGCTGTTTGATTTGCTCTTCTGGAGGCAGCTGTCCTCTCNAATTAGATTTAACTATGAATTTCCATTATAAAACGACAGACAGTTGCCACTGGGGGAGGTGGTTTTTGTTAGACTGTCAAAAACTTCCAGGGGGATGGTCAGAGAGAGATTGCTGTTTGATTTGCTCTTCTGGAGGCAGCTGTCCTCTCTAGAAGTCCATCCCCTGCACATATTTTAAAAGACTTACTGGAGACACTATATTGCCTTATAAAGTAGTTTCATTATTTTTAGAATGATCCTGCTAATACTCCTTATTCTCTTAAGCATAAATACTTAAATAATAATAGGCATAGAAAATAACGTGCATATGATTTTAGTATAAGAACTACAACAAGTAGCAACTTGGGACATCCTCAGAAAATCAGTCTGCCTGCTTGAGACAGATTACACATTGCGGTCAGTAGAGAAGATTGTGATTCTAGATGAATGTGACCAAAATAAATATATATTAAATTTCCTCTCAATGATAATGAAAATGTAACTGGCTAAATCCATATTGCTTTATCATTATTTAGTCTGTCCGAGCCAGAGTTTTCTCAGCTTTTGAGCCAATGCTCACTGGTATTCCATCAATCTATTACAGGTGTGCCTAAAATTGTCATCAGCTGGGAGTGTCGGGGGCGCCAGTGGACTCCAACTTCAAGCAGCTTGATCTGATGGGTGGTGGGTACACAATGCACTACACAGATGATGTAGCACAGAATTGCACACTTGAAAGCTATTAATTTTATTAGCCTATGTCACCCCAATAAATTTAATTTAAAAAAGTAAACAATGGTAGATAAATTACTAGTACTGAAAAACAGTTTTATATTTTAATATAAAAAAATGATATAGTTATGTATTTGTACCAGAACTGGTTTACACAATACTCACCAAACAATAGAATTGATTTTTTTAAAAATATAATATAGTCTGGCTGAGCATGGCTCAGCGGTTGAGCGTCAACCTAGGATCCAGGCCATCGGGGTTCAATTCCTAGTCAGGTTACATGCCCGGGTTGCGGGCTCGATCAATGACTCTCTCATCATTGATGTTTCTATCTCTCTCTCTCCTTCTCCTTTCCTCGCTCTGAAATCAATAAAGATATATTTTAAAAAATATATA